ACATTTGCTAACCCTCCAGTCAGCCAGGACTGCTGATAAATGATGGAAAGTGGCTTGGTGAGCACTTCCAGCGGCCCCCTCAGCACCCTTGGGTGGATCCCACCCAGCCCCATAGATTTGTGTGTGTCTAAGTGGTGTAGCGGCTCCCTAACCATTTCCCTGTGGATGATGGAGGCTCCATTCCACTCCCCATCCCCGTCTTTCAGCTCGGCAGGCTGGGTACCCTAAGAACAACTGCTCTTACTATTAAAGACTAAGACAAAAGCAGCATTAGTGTAACACACAGCAGTCACAAGCCAATCTCTTGTTTCAAGTGCTTCACTTACAAGTCCCAGTATCAGTCCCGAGAATAGAGTTGCCAATGCAAAAACAGCATACGAGCCCCAGACCGGCATTCCAGTTTTTTCTGTTAAATAACTATGGCAGTGCTGGAATAAAAGACAAGAGGATCATTTCAGAAACAGCTGAATATCATGTCTGTTAAGAAAAAATAAAGTAGAGATCTAAGCACATACCCTGATCCACATTGACAATTGAAACAAAGCTGACATACTGCTCATCCTGAAACAAAGCAGAAAAGCGTAAATGGAAACATCTTTAAGCCAGTCACATACCTGTACCTTCTGATTTGCCTGACTGGTCATTACTTAGTCCTGCATTGAACAACTTTCTGCTCATGTCTAGTTTCCCTTCTAACTACATTGATTTTTATCTTCTGATTTGTCTTTTACTTCAATAAACATTCGTTCTCCGTGAAGCTACCTTCCATACCAACATGAACTTTCATAACATTCCACATATGGACAACTACAAATTCACAAAACTCCTTGACTTGGATCTGCTAACATATGAGTTTCAGTTACTTTTGTTTATGTTCTAAGTTATATTTGGACCAACAGTCTATGAGAAGCCAGCTGGAACTCTGTTCAAGATATTAAGAATTAAGCATCTGGAGATTTTATTAAAACAAAAAATTAACCTATTAGAAAAAAATCAGGTTATGTAAGAACTGAGGTATCTTCAGACCCTGAAGTTTAGTTGTATTTTACATACAAGTAAAAAGACCAGGCTATCTGCCACGTATATCCTGACGATTCTGACATTTCCCTGTTATTGTGAAACTTCAGCATTAAGTGTTCACTATATGTAAAGGAAAGGTGAATTTGAAACATTAAGCCAACCTAGGCTGCTAATGAATAAGCCGCAGAAGCAGCCTGCATACCGATTCAGCATGCACAAGGAACAGAGCTGGTACCGTACACTTCTAATAGAAAACTTAGTAATCCTAAAATTAGTACCCTATTTCGCTCATTCCTTGGTACGGGCCAATACTTTGTAGGAAATCAACCACACAGTTGAGATTCAAACAGCACTGCGAGTAGACAAAGTAACAATGCTGATCTTCCTAGAAGAGACACAAGAAATGCAAAACTTCAGACTAGCATAACACTTCATAAACTAAACACCAACTGCTACAGTACAGTTAGCGCAGAGGTGTTTCAGCCATCATTGCTCTAACAGAAGAAAAACCACGAACAATTGGGTTCATTTGCCTCAACCAGTGGTGTCCCCTACATGCTTTATCACTCAGCTACTCAACTACTCTGAAACCACCGCACAGCATATGCAGCAACAACTAAAAGCACTTCAAAGCCACAAAACTAGAAAGAATTCCAAAGAGCATGTTTCTTCTAGACTACACAGTCTCCCCACTTTTCCATCAACGAAGGAACCTTCATCCTTCCACTCTGCTTTTCACTTTGCCACAGATACGTCTTCTATGTTGCTACATTATTTTCCAGTTTTTTCCTAGACTTCAGCTGAACAAAACATTTTTCTGCTGTATAATCAAAAGAACTTCAAGTGTCAGTAAGTTACCTACAAGAGCGTAGCAAAACAATACACCCACCTGTAACTATTTGAAGCCTTAAAGTAAACCTTGCTCAAGACATCTTTGCTATGCTTGTGCACATAATCCTCCCACAGCCGATGGAAGAGGCATGACCACCCATCCATCACATTCACATATTTCTTACCAGCACAGAGCTGCTGCACAAGCTGTTAACTCGGAGGCAGCACCAGGTGCGGCACACCTAAGGAGCTGTCCCAGCACGTTCTTAAAGTGTGCGTGTTTGACAACAAATTGTTATAAAAATCACACCAAAACTTACAGGAAAGAGGAAGGACCAAACCATGATGAAACTGGTTCAATAGATTTCCATTCCTGGTCACTGATGAAATTTATGAAATCGGTTTTAGTTCTTGCACCCTGGTATCTCCTGAACTCTCCATCTTTACAGCTGTAAAACAAAAAGTCCTTTACTTTAGACAGTCCAAGCACACAGCGTTCGCCTCCACTCCACTCAACATCTTCCCTTCCATCACCTTGCTTTTTTTATCGCCTTTTTTTTTTTTTAAGTTTTACTTTGCTTTAGATGATACTGGCTCTAAAATGTTTTCCAAAAATTTTGACTACAAGTATTTCTAGAAATCCTGACTCCACGTGTAGCTTGGCTAGCTTTAGGTTGCGATTCCATAAAAAGATAATGATCTTCCTAATGCACTTGCCACACAACTGCATTAAAGGATTGCAAAACAGAAACACCCACGAAAAGATAGAATAAATAAGGCCTGAAGGGAAAAGAAAAAAGGAACTGGCAGTACTGTAAGGTCTCAGCAGGTAAGGCAGTGGTTGCCTCTGTGTAAAGAGCATTCTTAAAGAGCATGGTAAATCTTACTCATTTGCCCCCCCAAAAATGGAAAAAAAAAGTCCTGTCTCCTCCAAAAAATCCTGTTGCATTGCATACTTACTGATAGATGGTAGGAAGAGCTGTTATGATAAATCGTCCACTTAATCCTGTAAGAGGAAAGCTACTTTCAGAATAGTAGAGCACTCTTACGTAAAAAGCAAGAGATGTTATTACACACACCAAAATAAAACCAGCTGCTTCCAGGTATCAATTTTTAAATGCGATCAAACACAAACTTGTGTGTATCAAAGTACTGTACACAGTCTAAAAGAAAGGTCCCTGGACAAAGGTTGAGAAAGTTTCACTATGGGGAAAAGAGATGTCCGGGGATAACTGTTCTACTTGACTGTTTTGGCTGTACCTCTTCAGAGAAAGATACTCTCCTTCTCCCCCATGATCTGCAACCTCCTGTGCTTGCACAAAATAATCCAAACGAGGCAAATTTTAAAAATTCTTACATGATTTTGGAAAAAAGTATCAGCATGAAGAAGGTCACTTCTACAAACCCCACACAGACATGAGGGCAATTCAGAGAAGTAAGCTTCAGCTGAGGGAGACCAGGCTGCTTGCACTCCCGTTTGGAGGGAGGTACTACTGCAGGGAAGGCTGAAACCACATTTTTCACTCTGTATGATGCTTAAAAAGTAAGGACAAAGATCTCCTTGAAATCCTCCAAGTCACTTTCTAGAGAAACCTCCTTGTTTCCTTTATCTACTAAAGAAAACTAGACTGCTCAGTCTATGTACAGCAATCTGCCTTCAGAAGAGATCAGGGAAAGATCTCTGCGATTCCTATTGGTTCTGGTTATTTTCTAAAATCACACAGGCTTGCACCGAACCTTCTCCCCTCGCGTTCAGCAGCCCAGGAAAAAAAGAGGGGGGGGGGCGAGGGGGCCCACAGCCCCCCCCGCCAGACTCTCACCCGGCTGCTCCGTGACATCCACTTTGGCGATGTTCACTTCCAGGTCCTCGCCCCACTCGGCGAACTTCTCCCACTCGGGCTGCAGCTTCTGGCAGGCGGGACACCAAGGGGCATAGCTGGGGGCAGCACAACTCTGTCAGTAACAGGCACCGCCCGG